AAAATATTTCGTGCACTTAAATTGGATAAGACTCGCTACCAATCCCTGTTGACTCGCTAGCTCAATAGGTAGAGCGGCGGTCTAGATACCCGAAGATGCGAGTTCAAATCCCGCTCGAGCCAACGAATTTTTCGTTGCTCGATTGCAGTGTCAGATTAATATGAAACCAGTTTTCCTATCTCTGAGGATGGTTCTGAAATAGAATTGAAACACTGCGCGTCCTCAAAGACAAGCGTTAAGTCGTCACGAAAATATTTCGTGCACTTAAAGTGGATAAGACTCGCTACCAATCCCTGTTGACTCGATAGCTCAATAGGTAGAGCGGCGGTCTAGATACCCGAAGATGCGAGTTCAAATCCCGCTCGAGCCAACGAATTTTTCGTTGCTCGATTGCAGTGTCAGATTAATATGAAACTAGTTTTCCTATCTCTGAGGATGGTTCTGAAATGAACTTACTAGATCGATCGTTTTTAAAGCAATTTAAAACGTTACATTTCCAGCAGTGTTTTATCAAACCTAAAGATACTCAGTTTTGCCTCGTATCTTTATATCTGATAAAACACTGATGCTCATTTTTTAAATAAATAGTACATGAAGAAATTCTGCCTGATTTTGACTACAATAAGTTCTGTGGCCTCCTTTCGTTTTTTTTTTCTTTCCTTAAATGCTTGCATGAACCTTTTCCCACATTTAATGCTTTGCATGATTTTTGGAAGGATATGACAGTGTAGATAATGGTCCACACCTAACTCCCTAAATAAACTCTGTGGTCGGTTATTTCCTGTTGTGGACTATCAAGGTCCAGATAATTTAGAGATAAGCAGTAGCAAATGACGCCGCTGGCTCAAACGCTTTGTGAGGTCCACTGCCATGCATATTTCAAGGGGATTAACTTTTAGTTTGAGATAAAGTGAAACAAGATAGTTGGATTCCACTGTAATTGTAACACATCCTCTAAACATGATGGAAAAGCCAGATGCATGATGGAAAAGACTGAGTCTAAGTTAAAAACGAATGTCTAACCACTTTTTCAACAAACGTCGTATACCCTATTTTCCTCCTTCCAGCAAGGCAACAACTTGTCAGTTGCATCTCAAAACACCTACCATGCAGCTATGAGTTCAGGTAAGTTGATGACGTAAATTTTAAAAGCATGCGTCACACCCCAGGCTAAAGCAAACAAAGTTTGCAAACAGAATGCAGTTAGCAAGCTTTGCAATGGTTCCATTTTATTATCTAAAATAATTCGTTTGAAAGAAATGGTCAAGTTAAATCAACGAAGGAGTGAGAAGGTAAAATTGTTCTTCTATATTTAAACAATAAACAATGTATTGACTATTGTAATACTTTTCTTTTGTTGGCACATGAGTATTGCAAATCTTATGAATTAAACTGTCACAAACTATTATATTACAAGACACAAGGCATATTCATACAATTAAGTGTATTCACAGGATTGTTCAAAGGATTGTTAGTACACTAGCCACTCTTGTTGATAATGGACTTTTTAATTATGCGACGTAGGAGTTCACAAAAACACTCTGGAAATAACCACACTGAAAAGGGCTTGCATGCATACAGCCTACATATGGTTTCCAATGGAATACAATGTAAATGTCAAAAGTGTATAGGCCCATACCAACCAAACTCGATTAGACAACGCACAAACACGAATTTTCAGTTTATTTTTTTTTATTTTCAATTAAACCGTCAACGGATAAAAATTTTACAAGATATGCAGACCAAATAGCTTAACTGGCTTAAGTGGTTCCGATCTGAAAAACATAGAACAATATTAAAGTTCAATGTCAGTGAAAATTCACGTCCGGTCTGTATGGACTTTACGTAGCAGTGCACCCAGAATTTGTCCCTAGTCCTCTGTGCACTTCTGTGCATGCCCTTTTATTTCTACCGTGCATAATCATATGCATACTAGGGACTATAGACTACTTAAGAGGCAGTCTCTGTAAGAACCTCATGACCTCTTTGGATCAACAAATAGATTTCTCTCAAACTTTGTAGTTGAGATTGCCTTTATAAGGGTTGTTTCAAAATGCATTTTGTTTTCAGTCTAATTGCATCTTGGCAAAGTTCCAGGGGGGTCAAGTTGAGGCTAAAATTACGATTTTTGCTGTTCTCAATAGTGGACTTTTGCTGATTTTTAAACCCTGTACATCAAACAAAAATAATCATAAAACTAAATCTTTCCAGACAATAGTAGCTTTATATGTCTTAAGTAACAAGGTATCTATAAATTTTTCAAATTTGTTTTCTAAATATAGAAATGACATCATTCATGATAGACTAAAATAGAAATTTCCAAGTTCCTTAAAAATGGGTGAAATAAAACCCCTAAAATTCAAAAGTTAGACTTGCTATGAATGTAATATTATTTGTATGGTGAGATTAAAGGTTGGTCTTACATAATATAAAATAAAATATTGCGGCCTGTAAATTTTGGAGGTACTACAGGCCAACAAAACATCAACATTTTCGACTTTCGGCAGTTTGGAGCAAATAAGAACGTTCGTGTTTACTGTAAACTCTGCTTTGAAAGAGCAAAATTTTACATATTATTGGACCTAGAACAGTGATGAACATTCGTTTGACCTTTACTGTTGTCTAAAGTCTTTTAGGGAAAAGCACTGACACAGGCATTTCCGTTATGCATGGACGTAATGGACCGTATTGTATAAATAATAAACATTTTCTAGCCGAATATAATCAAGACAAGTTATACATTTGCATCATGTAAAGACGTCCGTTAGTCAACAAATTATCAAACATCGATTTATGTTGAAGATTTATTTAGAAAGTCAAGAGAAATCCTACCCCAATATAATTGATACAAAGTATGCCTCGATCATAGCCTTGTCATTCAATGACCCCGATTGTCAGTTGACTTATTATTTGACGTTCGTTAGCTTCCATTATTCTTTAGTGTTAATCACTTTCGATATGTTAATGATTATTGTAGACACAGTCTCGTATATAAATCGTGATTCTTCGTCAACAGGCAATGCTAGTCCATTCCTCCATCGTTTAATTTTACTCGTTTTGTTATTGTTATGGCGGAAGCCGCTGACCAGCTAAATAATTTGGCTGTCAAAACACGCGCAACTTGTCGAGAATTGTTTGCTTTCACGCCGAAAATTTACCGCGAGACTATTTCCACAGGTGATTTTTGACTTTTTAATTTTTGTGAAAACACATGCAGCTGAAATAAAAAAATATATCTAAATTTTGTATAATTTCACGGTTTTGATATTAACTTGCTTTCATATAAACTTGCTTGCGTGTTGCGTTAATATATAAGTATAAACTTGTGAATTACGCCAACGTAACGAATTGAAAAAATTCAATGTCAAAATGCTGAAAGAAATCTGCAGCGAATTAGAAGTACATATATATAAATGCAAAACTTTATTATTATTATTATTAAAGTAATATTTTAACAGCTTCCATCACATACGTGGTTTTCAGGGAGGTTCTGCAAATAAATTACAATATAGCTAATAGTAATACGTTATTATAATATATCTTTCTGAAGTATATGTACTAGGAAATTACGATGTAAAAAGTGAAATAAGTCACTACTATAATCCAAAGTTCTTGATATGTTTAAAAGTTATAAGGAAATCGTTTTCTCAAATAGAATTGGGTAAATTGTTCCAATCCTTAAAAATGTAATCTCTATTTTAATGAAAATCTCTATTTTAGTCTGTCACGAATGAAACAGACTAAATGTAATTTTTCTAAATATAGAAACATTTCTATATTTAGAAAATATATTTTAAAAAATTATAGATTCCTTGATACTTAGGACATACCAAGCTACTATTGTGCGGGAGGATACAGGTTTATCATGATATTTGTTTGATGGAAGCAAAATTTTCCAAGGCTGTAAATATCTCTATCGTGCACAAACCCGCCCTGTACACGGGTAAAAATTGATCATGTTGTTCGGCGTTGTTCAAACAGGAGCGAACAATGTTGTGCTGCACCACGTGAACAATATTGTTAACAAGTTGTTCAACCATCAGTACTGTTGCAAGTTGTTAACATGATTGTCAACAAGTTGTAACAATATTGATGGTTCAACAACTTGTTAACAATATTGTTCACGGGGTGCAGCACAACATTGTTCGCTCCTGTTTTGAACAACTTGCATCAACATGATGATTTTTACGCGTGTAGATGCATGCATCCGATTGGATGACGACCTGATGACGACTCACTTTAAACTTGCTGAGCACGCGCAGTTGATCATTTTTCGCCCGGTCGCCTGAAAAAAAGTAGGTACATGATAACGTAATCTTCCGCAGTGTTTACAACGGTCAGTTACGTCTCTGTATGTCTTATCTACTCTGTGGTTCAATGCTGGATTAAAACGATGGATATGAAAAGCCTCTTTAAATAACAATAATGACCAATCGTTAGATTGATCAATTACTTTACAATCACTACAAATTAAGTCTACCAAACTTGTAGAATAATTACAGTTTAGTAAATTAGCTGGAAAATTTAACAAAGTACGAATAAACTGAAACTCTTCACAGACGGCGAACTTTTCATGCGTCGAATCTAATGCAAGGATTAAGTGCGACCCTGGAGCGGCGTCTAAATCAATTAAATTCGGCAGATTTTGATTAAGTTCGACACGACTCGAAGATGCGACAAGACAAGTCGTATATGCGACACAGGTTCGACATTGATTTAGACGCCGTGCTTTTTATGCGCCGAACCTAATGCATACCTATATTTTTTAACATTGTAAATATGTCCAATATAGTGTCCTCGCAATTTGGTACGGCGCAATTAAGTTCGACGTCTAAATCAGTTTCCAATATTTTGCCGTATCTACGGCAATTAGATTCGGCGCATAAAAGTTCGCCGTCTAAACCGGGCCTTAGCGTGTTCCTTGATGCGCGCGTGTGTGGAGACATCAGTCCGTCTTGCCAATATAGGAAGAAGAACAACCAGGGCACGAGAATTTGTAGACCACAGAATTCTTGTAAGGTTTTGGAATAGAATCTTTTTGAGATGTAAAAGTGCTAGCATTAACAGTTTGCCAGAGGGTGACGAACTTGACAGGTTTCTTTATGAGTCGCATAATCTTACGTGTGCAATTTCGTACGAGACTACAACCTTTCTTACCAATAAAAGGTTATTTAATCCAAATTGTTGGTATGCTTTCACTTTCATGGGTTGTGGGTTCGTTGGGTTTACTATCGGTGAAGGTTTTGATTAACTTTGTGACTGACCAGCGTGGAAAGCCATTCCAGGAAGCGAATTGCTTGATCTTTTGGATTTTGCGGTTCATCGGAACAGGGGCGCTGCAGATCTTTTGGGCGCGTTGAACGAGGGCACGAATCCATGCTATTTTCCGAGACCAAGGTGTGAAGCTGGAATAGTTTGAGTACTGTCCGGTATGGGTTGATTTCCGATATATAGTTGTCCCCTGCGGGTCGATTTTAATATCTAGGAAATGAACATCGTTGCTATCTACGAATTCTTCGCACGTGAATTGAATATGTGCATGGTGAAATGAATTGAAGCTGTCGAAAATTGATGGGATATTTTCGGGTTTAGTCAGAATTAAGGTGTCGTCAACATATCGCGCGTAAAATGCAATTGTTCCTGCGTTGATGAGTGGTCTTACTATTTGATCTTCGAACGCGGTCAGTAGGATGTTTGCTAGTGTGGGACCTAATTGTGAGCCCATTGAAACGCCGTCGACTTGTTGGTAAAGTTCATTTTTGAACGAATTATATATTGGCAAGACGGACAGATGTCTCTACACACGCATCAAGGAACACGCTAAGTCTGATAAGTCAGAAATTTTTAATCATGTACATAATTGTGAAGAGTTTCAGTTTGTGTTAGTGTAATGTACTCAGCTGAATAAGATGTTTGTGTGATGTTACTCTGAGTGTACATCCACCGCCCCCCGTCCACGCCGGGCAGGCTTGAAAAATATGCCTGGCCACGGCGGGATTCGAACCTACGACCTTCGGAATATTAGAAGCTTCAGTTTATTCGTACTTTGTTAAATTTTCCAGCTAATTTACTAGACTGTGATTATTCTACAAGTTTGGTAGACTTAATTTATAGTAATTGTAAAGAAATTGATCGATCTACCGTAACGATTGGTCATTATTGTTATTTAAGAGGCTTTTCATATCCATCGTTGTAATCCAGCATTGGACCATGGTGCGCGTGCGTCGAAATAATTATAGTTTAACGACGTTATCAAACTTTGAACACGCAAGCATCTAGCTTATAAATAGTTGGCTTTTCGAAATACGTGGCATTCTTCTGAAGATGACTTAAATTATAGTCGAAACGTAAAGAATTAAAATGTTTACAATTTTCGGAGTGTCTATATTGTTTTGTGTTTTATTAATTAATACTCTATGGCAACCGCAATTATGAAATTCGTTTGGTAAAATTTGAGTAAATTTTTAGGAATCGAATTATTATACCTAACCTTGTCGCAAAGTATTTACTGAGACCGAGGGAAACAGTGTGTTTTGTGGACCCTAGACCGCCGTTGTTGCCCGAGGCAACAACAGCGGTCGAGGGGCCACAAAACACACTGCTTTCCCGAGGACTCAGTAAATAAGTGTTTTGTTATATAGTATATAAGTATCAAAGACTCAAAGTATGAATAATTCACCGGTTATTGGAGTGAACTTAATTTGAAACCAAAGCTTGGGCAAATGGAACGGCGTAAATGTTTAATAAAAAGTTTAAAAAATGAACTTTGGAACTTCATGGTTGACACGCATGCGTATTGCACCCATTTTATTATTGACCGGTCAATAAATGTTTCATTGCGGAACGGTTGCCAAACATGACGTTTTGTGGACCGGCACGTGATACGGTTTTGACCAATCGGCAAACAAAAAAATTGAACTTTGACACTAAATGTATAACAATTTAATTTAATAAGTTCAGCAAGTAATTTACCCATAAAATATCAATTATGTTCCAATTATGTTCCATTAATGCAATTTAAAGTCGGGAAATAAAATAAGTGAGCATTTTAAATTTCTGTTCAGCCTTTTCAAATTTTACCGATGCTTTCGATGAATACAATTTACAATTGTTCACTTCGCCCTTGCAGTACGTCTGGTCGCTGCAGAAATTAAAAACATCGCAAGAAGTATCTTGTAGACAAGCTTTCTTGCATGATTGCGCATCAACCGTTTTGTTACTTGCTGGGCGGGCTTTGGTTGAAACACGAAGATGTTCCACAACAAAATCTGTTTTCTGATCGTTAATCTTTGTAGGAAATATTATAATCTTTGCCTTGGCATTCGCTTCTTTCGAGATTTCATGCTTTTTGTTTGCGTCACCGTAGAAATGGCACTCGTTGGAGTTTGATATATAAGCTATAGATAAACAATGACGATTTTCAAAACATTTGGAAATACAAGATGTCTCCGTAGCGGCCGCAAACGTCGAGATAGAATTCAGAAGGTAAAAGTCGTTAATTGTGATACCAACGGACACTGATTCCTCACAAGAATTAACAGTTCCGGCCTGTAATAGTTGTTGACAATACAACTTCTCAATCCCAACTAATTTCTTTCTTAATAAATTATAATTTATACCTGTGCCTTCCATAAACACATTAGTAAATAAATTGGAGATTGGTTCAATTTTATAAGATGTTGGAACGGGGTTTTCTTTAACTGTCGATGCCCAGTATGCGGCTTCTCCATTGCTTGGCGGAGCTGCCCCAACAGTTATTGTCGTTGTTTCAACTTCTTTGGAAAATTGTGAAGCTGCCTGTCTTTCACTTTTGTCCAAACTAAATCCTCCACTGACGCTGACCAGGCCGGAGTAGCTCGCTTGCGCTGAAACACTGATATCTCTCGAAGATGCTGTTTTGTAAGATTGCGAACTCATACTGTGTTGTTTCATAAACCTGGCTCCAAACACCACACTTGTTGGGAAATGTGTCCCATAATACTTTACAAATTTTAGTAAGTTAGCTTTTGAATGGTTTCTTTCTAGTGTTTTCGCCCAGCGATAAAAACCCAGATGTAATGGTGGAGGTTGGGTTAAATCAATTTTACTGAAATAGTAAGAACATTTTGCTGAAGATGTAATATACACTTTTTCACCCGATGAGACTTCAG